TATACAGCTATTTACAGTTTAAAAGGCTTCAAAAACATATTTGCCAGTTTGCAAAATTCATCTAACCCAAAATCTTTCCTTATAGACCCCTGTTTATTTCATAAAACTATAACTTCAATTTATTCCCTTGCCCCTTATTGCAAGCAAACAGTAAAAGAAGTCTAGGGAAATTGCGTGCTTTTCGGTGTCACTCCTTCAGTAATTCCTCGATAGCCAATTTCTATTAGCATGAGCAATTATTCCACTAATAAGGTTTAAATTAATGTATTGCAAAAGTACTGCCTCAGAGAGTTGCCAACAATCTGACCAGCAACACATTCATTTTTTCCTCTCCCAACTCACTATTTATTTTCCAGCTCCACCCTGCTCTCTTAGCACTTAATAGCTTAATTTACTTGTATTACTTCCGTATTTTGTTTTTTCTGGGACTTTTATCATCACAAATTTTGTCCTTTCAAAGCTGTATATCTTCTTTGCCTACATGCTAGATTCTCTCTTATTCATCCACTTAAGTGAACACTAGATCATTTATATTTAATACATCTTTCCTGATGATCTTTTACTATGCATTTATTTCTCTTCTGCCTCGACTAATAAGAGTGATATATGGTTCTCAACTTGGCACCAGCCCGTGATTGATCGAAGTGTTCCGTTCAAATACAGATAGCAATTACTACTACAAACTCCCTATTTCAGAGTTTTACATGGTGGTGACAGGACTGGATTCCACTCCTACCATGAGATTTCACAACAGTGTCACATGTACTAAGTCAAATTTTTTCCAATATAAATTGTATCTTATGGTATTATGGCTGAAAGCCACAGTATAAAATTGCTCAAGCTGACACTGCAAAAATATGCTTTAACTTGCCTTTGGAATTCAAAGTCTTAAATTGCATTGTTCTTGGCAAAAATTGTGGAATTTTCTCTAAGCCTGGTTTTCATTAAATCTACTGATTGACGTCTAAACACAAAAAGATAACATTATACCCGCCAAAGTAGGTGGTATTTCTTTAAGTGAGGAATAACGCTAATTACTGTAAAGGATTACTGACGAATGTAATTGTGATCATTCAGATTCAAAAAAGATTAGTACCACATGTTTTATGGGCTGTGTGAATTTTGACCGATATTTTCTTTTCTTACTCAAACTAGACTACAACATGATGCCTTGTCTTGACAGTAGAAATTTTAAGCCTACCATTAAGTTGATTCATCAATCAGTGAAATATTTTCTTTTCTCAAAGTTCTACAGTAAGTCAAGAAAGTAATTAGTGTTTAACTGTAGAATTAGCTTACCATATAGAAAAGCCAGGAGAAATATTTATAACTCGTCTTTCATGTGGGTAACAATGGAAATTTCTCTACAGCTATTCATTCCTTCATTTGTTGAATTCTGTTCATGTCTGAATATGAGATACTATACTGTGTCTTCGAGCACGGTACTTGAGACCAGAAACTTCATACATTCTTGCATTTAATTCTATGGCCTTGAACAAAGACATTACTTTTTTAATTCCCTCTCCCATCTGTAGAATGTGGTTATTCATACTTAACTGCCTCTTGTATTAATTGTAGTTATTAATAGTTGTATTGATTAATAGTTAATGAATTCAGATTATTTTTGTGGATAAAAATATTCTCAACTGTGCAGAGAAGAAGCTGGAATTTCAATTATATTTAAAAATGTGAACTGAAAATATACCAATGTTCCAAACTGCAACAAACCCAAAGAATTTTGAAATTGCTTGAAAAACACAGAAGTCACACTCAATTTTGTTTCAAGAAAATATTTTCCATTATATCTTATAATGGAATAATGAAATAAATAGCAAAACAAAAAGTCACTTCAAAATAGAGAAAAATCCAATATCAGATTTTTTTTAATGAGTATCTGCTTGTCAAAAATACTGATCAACTCTAGTTTCTTATATTATAATTAATCTTTTATTGTCATCTTTAAAGATGACAAAAATGGTTTCACTAGTAATCAAGAGCTAAGCGACAGGACAGTCCCAAAATTTCCTCAACACCCTATATACACAGCTTTTTATTTCTTCAACTCCAGGTCCTGCATCCCTTGCAAATCAATTCGTCTCCACCACAGTAATTACGGTATTCTTAAAAACAAATTGACTTGTCAAGTTAGTTCCTCTATGACAACCTCAGTGTCTTCAGTGACATATCTCTTAACAGAGAATGACAGCAGGCGGAAAAAACAGTGAGCTTCCACCTGCCCCAGTCCCCCCTCACTACATGAACTGCAACAAAGCCATGACTCTCTCTCTTCCACTTTAAACCCATATATGAAAACATCAAAACAGAAAAACCGCAATTCATATCCTTCATCTCATTTTATCACCACTGACACTGAGTATCATTTAATCTCTGGCAATTTTAAGAGTATTCTCATTAGGACTAAAAAAAAAATTCCCTGCAGCAGTCATGGTACTAACTCCAGTTTCACGGCTCCAAGGGAACTCCCTTTAGCAAAATCAAAGTGACACACAGATAACAATCCAGTTTGGCTACTTGTATTTTGAGCAGCACAGCATCACAGCTGAATTAATCCAGCTGTGAGGTAGTATGGTGTGTAATCCAGGGCGAGAAATAGGTAAAATTTAAACCAGCAAGTTTGAAAGAAAGGGATTTGACCCACAAGGGAATGCTCTATCCATTAGAGAAGATACAAGGCAAAGCCTTTCTACTTTCAAGACTCCTTGCATGTGGCTTTTTTCTTCTTCCTGTTTAATAAAAGGTTATTCTTCTCTCTATGGGCAGTTCATGAAATAGTGATCAGTATATACTGTCCTAAATCTCCACCTGATGCGCACCACATTTTTCTGCTGGCATTGCTGGCAAAGCCCCTCAGGTCCTGTAAACCACCCGATGAGCCCTTAACAGAAGTACAGCAATTTACACCAGTGGCAACTCTGCTCTAATGACTCTACAATGATTTATAGCAGCTAAATGTCAGAACCCACTAGGGAAAATGGAGACGAACATTCTTGATAGGATAGCATCAAGAAAAATGGGGGTTTTTCTGTAGGCGTGAGAGCTAGAATAACTAAAACTAATGCTGTTATACTGATTAAGGAGACTGTTGAAGAGCCATAGGAGAACTGAAGTACCAATCAGCTTCTCATTGTTACAAAGAAACACCGAGATGGAGAACCTGGAGAAATTCAAACTCTCACAACAAGAATTTCTCTGCAGAATTGCTACCATGAGCCCAAGAGTGCCTGTGCTCAGCTCAAGGGCTGTCACAGCCACTGGCATAGATATTTTTCTCAGGGATGTTCTACAGGTCACATCACCAGTCTACGGTTAGGAAACGTTCCTTCAGCAAAATCATCAGCAGGTTGCTACTGTCTGCAGTGGTTGAGAAAAGGCTTCTTTCCTTTAACTCTTTTAAGCCTAAATGTCAGAAACTGACAGATGGACGCTCTTTCCATTACTTTATCAGTGTCACAGCAAAGTAATACATGAAAGCCCTGCAGAGCAACCTGCAGCCTGGGTCCTTTTTATGACAAATAAATATTTAAGGATAGGTCTCACAAGGCTTTTTTTGCTTGATCTCATTTGTGTTATTTCAGCCTGTAGCTTTATATAAAACAAAAACCTCTCCAGGGAATTAAATATCAAATAACATCATGGTTTTTCTACTACATTCAATAGTTTGCTCACTTATCCTGAAGTCATTGAGAAAAATACTTTAAATTTCATAAAAACTTGTGTAATGTATTTTTACAAAAGTAACGTGGTTCTACGTTTTTATCCAGATATTTCACTTGACATTACTTCCTTTTATTAGCTAGGTTGTCCTTTATTAAATGGGAATATCTTAAATGAACTCATAAAAATTAAATTTTACAGGCTAGAAATTAAATACTAAGCACTGATGAGATGTGTATGTATGCTACAGATTTAGTATGTGTCACATAAATACAGACACATAATTAGTTGATGGTAGAGATTTTATAACATGTAATTAGAAAGTGGACTGCTGGAATCCTCTTTAAGATTTTATTAGCAATTCATTAACTGTCTGAACTATTTAGGCATGGAACCTTAATATATTTAGTTTAGGAATATTTTCTTTGCAGCTTGATCCAGTAGGAGAACAAGCAGTTAAAACAGGGTAATATTGTGGTTTTAATTGTCTGAATGTTAGTTCTTTTGCTAGCTTGTGACCTGTTCCCAAAGAAATGAGCAAGAATTAAGGAGGAGCTTAGATTTCCAGATTTCTCCTTACCCTTTCATCTAATTACGGAATTACCAAACAAGCATCAAAACAGTGTCTTCAATTGCTTCACTTTCCTCTAAAATAATTTTTGCCAAACAACGCTGCATGGAGCACCAGATACCCATAAGTACTTTCTGGTGGTCTAGGAAGATTTAGTGAGTCACTGCCTGTCTCTCTGCCTCCTGCTATGTTGTATTACAAGCAGCTGGGAAAAAAAAAAAAAAGTGCATTATTCTTCCCAATCACTCGTGAAGAATTGCCATTAGGGGACATGCACTGCCCAGTCAACGCTGAAAGCAAGAGGACCCTGTGCCAAGAAACCATCCTGATACACCAGCTCAAGCTGTTCACAGTAAGTCAGACGAAGCAGTTTTCCTCGGTGCTGCATGGAGGTTGTGCTGTCTGCTTCTGCCTGTCCTCCTGTGTGACCTGCTCCGGGTGATCCTGCTCTGGCAGGGAGTTTGGACTAGATGATCTTTTGAGGTCCCTTCCAATGCCTAACATTCCGTGATTCTATGAACTCTGAGGATATAGAATGAAGGAAAATAAACACAGATTTCTGTCACAAAAAGACTCAGCCTCTCCCAGTGCAGCTAAAGATGGACCTTTCTAGCTAAGACTCATAAGTAAAATTCTGTGTGTGCTGAGGGCAGCTGCTAGAGACACACATACATCTTTAAAAGTATCTTCTTTCCCTCACCTCCTCAACCATTAAGTAATAATTAATAGGTATAAGCGGAACTAGTATACTGACCTCATCGACGTTCTCAAAAGCATTGATGACATCATATGGCAAGCATGACAGCAGATCGATCACAAACCAGGTCTTCAAGTAATTCATGCGAATTAGCTTTGGGTCAGAGATCACCTCTCCTGCTGGCCCCACAAAGGTAGTATGGAAATTAAGTACAATGTCTACCAAAAAAATGACATCCACGATGCTGTCGACTACTAGCCATGCCACATTGTTCTGTTTGGTTTTAAAGGAGACATTGTAAGGGACCAAAATAGCAGTGTAGAAAGTTAAAATCAAGATGATCCAGTCCCAGGTAGTCTTGAAAACGCAATAATGCAAGATTATATGTGGTGGAGTCTTTGGTGCCTCTTGTTTGTACTGCGGTAGGATTTCAGAGCCCAGCTGCAGTACCTTGGAAAGAGAGAACATATTTAATTATTTAATTTTTTTATGTTATTTTTCAACATTGCAGATTTTCAAGGTCAGTACAACAGTTGATAAAAATACATGTCATGTTACATACTGTAACTCCTTTTAACACTGCCAAATGCTAAGCAAGTCAGGATAAGTAACATGTTAGACAAATCAGCATCAGCCTAAGAACAGTTGTTGTTTCTTTCAATGCCATTAATTATTTTTTTGACACTAAGCCTAATAATGTGTTGGATCCTCAAGTCATGTAAAGAAGAGACAGTTCCTTCAGCAGTCTAAGTAAACAAGAGAGATAAATGGTGGGAAGGAAGGCAGCTGCAGACAGAAATCAATGGCAAAACTGGGAACAATACCGCAGCTTCTGAGTTCCAGTCCAGCACCAGGACCACTGGACCACATTGTTTTTCAACACTGTCTATTTAGCTCTTCTCTATACTGTATCTGAAATAGTCTTATACTGCAGTCTGTTGTCATAAACACACAGGTAAAGGCCAGGCAAGACCAAAGTTCATTGACAACTATCATTAGCCTCAATAAATTCTTTTTGAATTTTAACTTTTCATTAAGAGAAGATCCGTATCTTCACTATCTGAGGGCATACAGTCAACTTACAATGCAGTTAAGTCTGAATTCGAAAAAGCACTACGGGAAAAGATGATCTGTCAGCCTATTTTCAAGGTCCAGTTTTAAACCCTGGACCTCAAGCTGCGCACACGCTCAAAGTGTTTTACATAACTGTAAACTTGATCTGCGCTGCCCATTTTAAAGTCTAATATCCCTCCAGTTCTGCACACTAGTGCAAGAAGAGTATAATCATGCATTTAATTCTTGGGACTAAAGTTTCTTTCACATACCTACCAACAAGAATGTGTTTGTTCATATCTATGGATATGCTTAAGGGTGAAACCAACACAAAGGGTCTGTCACGAAATAGAGACAAGACAAATTTTAAAAGGAAATTTACCCTGGGTGAGCTATGGGTGAACACTGAAAGGAAGGTGGAGGTTTGCTTGAGCGAGATGTGTTTGCTAATGCCAAACTCATAGAACCTGGGAGAACTATCTGGGAGCATGGTTCCTTTTTACATTTATTTACACATAGTTCAGAGCAACAGACAGCAGAGAAGGAAATTAAATGGGCATCTTCTCAAAGAAAAGAGCAGACAACATAGCTATAATAGAAGGATGTCTTCCTTTCATGCTCCTTATCTCAGCTTTTTAACATCAATTATTTAGACATGGATTTTTATCTGCAGGCTTTTGAGTGCTTTTTATTATTTATTAATATTTTTTTGTGAACTGGTGGGCTTTTTTCCAACAGATTAAGCCAAAGAGGACAAAAGAAAATAATGAGCTATAAGAGTCCTACTTGGACAAAACAGCTTCAGACCAAGTTCCCTGCTGCTTTGAACCTCACATAATCACTTACTGTTGTGCACAACAGGGGTGAGACTGTCAGATCAGAGTCCCTTGCACTTGTGTAAATGGCAATGGGAGCTGCAAGCCTGCTGACTTTGAGTTCAGTCTGTTCTCCAGAAGAGAAGTAGCATGACCTGCTTAGAGACCTGCATGTTTCACAGAGGCATGAATCAAAAAAAAAAAAAAAATACGCTCCCCCTAAAAAAAACCTAAAAAACCTAAGCATTTTTGTTTCACTGAGTTTCCACAATGACAGCAGAGGGAAAAGGAACATTTTCCCCTAAGAAGAACCCTCACAGACCAAACTAGGACTCAGACATGTCCACTGCAGAATTAAGTACTCTGCCTCTGCTGACTGATTCACAAAGGGTCTCCATACTAAAAAATAATAATTACAAAAAGGTCATCTTGTGGTGAAAGACGCTGGAAGCAGCACAAGGCAGAAGCAGCTTCTTCTCTGCAGGGGACACTGGCCAGCCAATGCAGCCCCCAGAAGTCACTGGCAGTGACTGGAACAGGTTGTCTACTGATTCAGTAGTATCTGTACTCAGAGCATCACTCTCTTCCAGTTCCTAGTGGCAAATGCAAAGATGTATTCTCTCAACAAAAACTAACCAACCCAAGAACAATATTGCAAATATCTCCCTTTTGACCATTGCAGCTGTACCTGAATCCATCAGAAAGCACTGAGCTGCTACTGGCTTTTATGAGGATTTGCATGAGTAACAGCTCTAACCTAAGATCCCAAGTCTGAAATATGCTTCACTGGGCAAGGAGAGTCTTCTGCAATACTGACACACTGGAATAACTGATCAGCAAAGTCAAGTACTTTCTATCATGTAGTAACATCTTTCAGTCAATCAGGATTTCAGTTCTAATGCTGAGACCTTACTAGCATGGCGAGACTGTATCACCCTTTACATGCAGAGTGAGAGCATAATTGCTTCTTTTGAAATTGTATGTCTCCTAAAGTTTATTTTTTAGCCTCTGATATTATATGAAAAAGTCAAACATTTTGGTAACCATTCTAAGCAGCACAGGAACCTCAACCATGAAATACTGAAAAAATAGGGGGGTTTAGGTCTTGTCAGATTGATTCTTACTCATACATACAGAAGTTCTAGACTGAGAATATACTGCACTCTACTTTGGCCACTGCTGGTGTCTTTGTATTACAAGAACTTGCGGAAATTTTGCATCATCCAAACTAAAGTTATTGGAAAATGTACTAATGCATTCCCATATATCTGAATATAAAAGACAGGAACAATCTCTGATTGGCAATAAAGAAGGGATAAATTACAGTGTCCCTTATTTTGCCATACATTGAAAGAAATTACAGTAAAGCCAGTGGAACTGCAGAGATCTAAAACTGAACTGAATGCAGAGAAAATCAGACTTTTAGTTTCAACTCGTTATGAAAATAAACAACTTTGCTGCTTCAGTGTTTCAAAATGTCATCACCAAGTACTTTCCCCTAGCTTGTTTGATATTCAATGGCTACAGCACAGGAAAATAAAAGGATTGATGTCTCCTTCAGGTTTTATTTTGAAGTAAATGTACTCTAAACTATCTGAATGGCTAGGGACCTTATTAATAAGAAGTCTTTTGAACTTCTGTTACCACCTTGGAGTCTCTGGTTGAGCTCTACCAATGGCTTTTTGACATGACCAGAGGCCACGGCTTTAGTTGGTCTCCAATGGAATGATATGCACCAGCAGCGTGGGTGTGAATCTCGAAAGGAAGGGCAGAGACAGGGCAGAAGTCGGGCATCAAGGAATGACATTGGGATATCAATCACTCATAAGGTGGAGAAAGTCACTGCAGCAAGCCTGAAGTGCCTCAAGTCTTTTCTTGGATTGGATGAGGGTGTAAAATTCTAGCCCTGGCTCCTTCTTACCACATCGCTAACATGCACCTTGTAAGACCACTCCATCTTGCTGGCATTGCTAGAGAGATGAACTGCCCTTTCACAGCTTGAGATGGAAGAAGGGCACAGTCCCAGTCTATGCTACCTCTCATGGGAAAGGAAACTTGCTTTGCAGATTGTCCCTCCAGGACTGCCAGTCAAGATTTTTCAAAGACATCAAAATCTTATTTTCGTTGAAGAAAGAGAAAACCCACCTATAACAAAGCCCAGTTATCTCAGAGAGCAACCATGTGCTTATAGCATTGAGTACAGCAAGAGAATGTGCTGCACAGAAATAATGGAAGACCTTCATGTTAAAGATCTAGGTTTTGTCAGGTTGCTGCACTGGAAGTTAGGAGAGCTCTTTTCTCCACTTTTCACACCAAGGGCCACACAAAGCCTATTTCTTCACCATCCTTTCAGGCACACACACCTCCCCTACACCATCTGGAGATTAAGGGCTATAAACCTCACTCTCTCTGCACCATATAGAAAAGCCAGACAGATGCAAAGAGAAGTTCCTTCTGCTCTATTTCAAGGTACTCTTGTCACACTCCAGCGCCTCTAGGGAGAGCAGTGCTAACCTGAGACACAATATTTGCTGAAGCAGTCAGGCATGGTTGGTTACCCACCCACATGAACTAACTAGATTCAGATTGCTTGTAAAGGTATTTCTCCTGGAGGGGAAAAAAAACACAAAAAAAACCAAACAAAAAATCCCACATCCAAGTGATGAATATAAAAGTAATCACGAAGAAAATGTACACAACTATATAAATCAGTATGTTGAGCCTCCACTCACATGCACTGAACAAATATGATGTTGCTATAATTTTCTAAATAACTGAAACAGCCCCAGTTTTCGAATATTTTTCCCTCTTTTGCAGTTATACCATGCTAAAAGAAATATTTGTTTGAGAAAGTTATTAATGAAAGTATTATTCCAATTACTTATGATTCATCAGCCACTACAGTTGTATTATCTGCATTTATTATTTGCGGTAATGATGCATCATGTTTTAATAGCTCTCTAAAGCTGGAGAATATTATTTCAAGAGCAGAAATGACAAATTTCATCACTGAGTTTCACAAGGCTTTTTTAAAATTTTTTTTAAATAACAAACAAACAAAATTCCTAGATTTGTCAAAAAATGGTGAATAAATTACCAGCCAGGACTCATAAAAGTGCATCAACAAGTGGTTACAATGATTTATTTATTTTTAACACTGCATGATTGGGGAAAAAAACCCCACAGAAACAGTAATTAATTTTCAGCTTAATCTCTCCCTTTTGTGTTTTCAACTGCACATATTTGCTTTCCCTCACTTTCCCTTGCTTTTGTTTTCACAAGCACCCACATGAATTGCTCCCAAGTCAAGGGCCTGGTGCTAAGCCTCAACTTGAGGTGGATTTTAATGGCAGTTATAAGTCCCTGATAAACAACGTTTAAAAAAACCCCAGAAACTGGCAGATGTTCCGCTATTAAGCAGTACTGCTAAGCACCATTATAATTTTTCTACTTTTATTTCTCATACCTATGGCATTTTTTAAATTATGACACAATCTTGTTTACTCAGAACTGCTTGGTAAGTATACAGAATACACCAGCTAACGTCATAGGTGCAGAGGACATGTGTCCTATGCAGTGACCAGGAAAAAAAGGTTCCTACAATCAGCTCCTTGGTGATAAAGCCACAGTAACATATCAATTACTTTACACTCATTGTTAAAAAAGGTACTCTCAGAGTTACCTAACACCCTTGCATTAATTGTATAATTAATTTAAGCAGTTTTCATGTCACTGCTATTAGAGAAGTCAGGCTAAAAATAATCTACAGATACTGGCAAAAGTCAGACACTGAGATTTAACAGACACTGTTTTATTCACAGGCCATGATTAATACAAAGTAGTTTGTCACCAACACCTTTCTTAAACTAGTATTTCCTAAACAATAAAAGAAATTGTAAGCTTTTGTGGCAGACTCCTGTTTTTTATTTGTACAACACCTTGCCTCACTCAGTTTCTAGGACATAACCATCTCTGCAGCTATTCAAAAACATAAGCAATAAAAAAACCTAAGAACAACACAAATAATATCCCAATACATGAAGAGTCTTCTCAAGCAAACAAGATTGATTTGAAATGCTATAGTGTGTAGGAAAAGGGATGGATTTTAATTTATGCTTGAGACTTCAAATAGGCTAGTACAGAGACAAAGAAAAAAAATATTTGAAAATGCAACACGGAACAGTTAGAGATCCCATGTTCAATATTATCAAGAGACCTTTACAGAATAAGAAGCCTGGCATCCCATATGTCTTCAAAGGAAGAAGAGTGGTCTTGTCTATATGATTATCTGCACTCTGCTCTTCTCTACTGTAGTTCTATTACCTTAAGTGGACTTAGAGCAAATATACAACAAGGTACCTAACATCACAGTTGGGGCTAATCTTCTTTTTAAAATAATGACTGCAATATTCAGTCAGCAATTAAAGAAACTCATTTCAGACATATAAACTACACACTTGCCCTTTATTATTTGTAATGAATCAACTTGCTGTGCCAGTTAGAAATACTTGCAAAGACTTGTTGAGTTCATCAGCTTGCAAGAAATTTCAATAATGCCTAGTCTCTAAGGTCCAGACTGAGGTTCACTGAGCCAAACAGAATAACCTGAGACCCTTTGCCTCACATTCTACTGTCTACATTTTAGCATGAACTAAAATTCAAGGTTAGATTATCTAAAGAGAAGAAAGGAAGGATTATTTGATGCTAAACCTTGAATAGGATTAGGAGGGAGAGTACTCCAAATTCCAGGACACTGAAGCAACTTCAAGGTGGACATGTGATAATCACATGGCATTCCTACAGTATAACGTCCATGTGAATGTCTGCCCCTCTCTTGTACTCGTGTGATCTATGTTATTTCTGTTCTTCCAACAGAAATCAGTTTTCCATTCTTGAGTGCATTAAATAGGTGAGCTCCTGTCCATGGGAATTTTATCACATACAATAATAGTACATGTCTGTGCAGGAGTTGTTTATTGTGCATAGAAACTAAGACGCGTAAAGGGCAAAATTAATGAAGTACTGATTATATGGAGACCCCATGGAACCCACCTCCAGCTACACAGGGAGATTAAGAATTTTTTGTAAGAGTCAGAGCTGCTGCCACAGCACTCATAGCTATAGGTGAAACAGGAGTGATGTTATACTCGCCATGCTGTCATTAACACCATATCTAGACTTTCCCTAAGCTGTTTTCACACCCCGGAGACCCTGCTGCTGGCCCAGGAGACAGCTATAGGAAATTTGAGACAGTCTCTCCCCCTCGTGGTGAAAGCCCTAAAACCCCAAGTACTTCAAGAAGCCTTCAATGCCTGGAGCTTTTGTCAAAACTTTGAGAGTCTACTTAAATCACAAGGTTTCATCTTCCTAGTCTGTCTGCAGCGTTGCTTGGGGCATCTTACAGCTATTCTTTACATAAAACCAGTAACTCAAACATGTGTTTTAACCAGTTTGTACAGCAGGATTGGCATCCCACTGAAAAAGAACTAGACATGAATGAATGCAGAGAACAGCCACGTCAAGGATTCTCCAGAATCTTCTTCTGCACTAGCCTGAGTTTCTCTCACTTCAATTTTACAGAAGTGAAGAGGCCAAGATCCTACAAACACTGAGATCCTGAAAAGAACGGAACTAAGCAAGTATTAATTTAATAATAATGCTATTATAAGACTTCACTGGGATATGGAACACAACACTGCAATTCAGTTACGACGAGTTTTTTGGACACCTGTTTCCATTCCACTGTCATGGGACATATTTCACACCACACACGCTGTATTCTGATCTCCCTTGCCTATCACCAGGCTTTACAGACAGCGTTCAGCTTATCCAGAGACAACATAGCCACAAAGGTTAAAAATATTTTTTTACGTTACCTCAGCAAGTCGAGAATGCTTGTGAACATTCTCTCCTTTCTGCACGCTTGGAGCAAGCTGCTGCAGCACACCTCGGCTGCTTGTGAGGGCACGAGTCAAGCGAGCAAACTTTCCCCAACCTTGAGAAAACAAGCAAAAATATATACATAAGTGTATATAAATAATACAACAATATATGTAATATGTATTTAAATATGCGTATATAAATAAGCAAAACAAAATACATAAAACATAATAAAATAGTGAGTTTTTAAAAAGTTAAAACTCAAAAATCTGCTTTAATACTGACCACAAGGGAATACAATTTAACTAAGCACTAGACAAAAGAAACTCATAAAATAGGTGTTAGGATGGTAAAGTAAGAAAACCTAGTAACTTTGTACTCAATGGCTCTATAAGAGTGCTATTACATGAATTGCATCTTTTGTAAGAACAAATGTCCACTTTACAATAATCTTCTATTAAATTCAAAGGCCAGATCTGGATCTCTCAGCACTGCAGAAGACACTCCAGACTAATCAAGATGTAGGAGGAGAATCACACATAACAAAAATTACAGTTGCCTGTAACAGAAGCGAATCTGGCCTCACGTGTACCAAGCATACATCTGGCATAAGCAGAGAAATATACATAAGATAATAAAAAGCAGAGCAGACAAAGCAAAACAAAATCAGTCATTTTATCCTCCCTAAATAAAAGGGAGAAATATACAGATAGATTTTCCCAAACTCTAGTAAAACATTTAGCAGCTTGTAGCAGAGAAGTCACATGCTGAATTTTAATTCAGAATATTTTTTACAGTCATTTCAAATATCCCTCAAAATAGAAGACCTTGAATGACAGTCACAAGAGCTAGCTACAGCTATAACTCTTATAAGCAGTACTTTGCCACAACAGAAAGTCAGGCAGAGTACACATCTGGATATTTTTGGTACTCTGAAAGGAAAATATCAGTGCATTCAGTCCCAGTCTTGAAAAAATGCTAGCACCACCTGGAAACTGTTAAGCAGTCTCATCTCCTGCTCCAATGGAGGATGCTCAGTGCTTTGCAGATTCAGTTCTTAATGAGAACTTGGTTCTGGAAAAAGCTCCCTCTGCATTATAGTTTTATCAACAAAAGAAATAATACTATTAGCAGAGATTGTTTTTAAAAACCAGACTTAGCCTGCAGGTGATCCATGACAACTACAGGAATATGGGTGGTTAAAATAGCATCCAATCCCTTGAATATATCCTTGCTTGACATCTCACTTTGACGGATTTTGCAGGAGTTTATTTGGTAATTTGAGAGCACAAAAAAATAAATAAATTACATGGTTCCAGTATTGAACAAGATCTTCCAGGGCAGATCTGAAAACAGAGTTAGCATTTTCTCCTTTACAAATATGCAAAATGGTGCACTTATTAAAAAGAAGGATCAAATTCACCAGATGTCTCCAAAAATCAAGAATAAAATTTAATATTTCCTTAGGCCTTAAAGCATGTTCTAAAGCAAGTCAGCCACTGGTTGCTGAGTAGAACTAGCCAACGCTTTCAGGCAGTACTCAGCAACAAGCAGACTGAATGATTTCCACCCAGGAAGCCAGATCTTTCCTGATAAACCCATGTAAGATTAGCTACTCTACTAAAGGGCTATTTCTCTGACAAATTAACTAAGACAACAGAACGTCAAGTGAGGTCAGGTTGTAGCTGTTATAAATCTGACCCAAAGTACGTGATTTCTCACAATACATTTCCATGGAAGTCGGTGGGTTTGGGTTGGGTTTTTTAATTTTGTAGATATATTTTTAAAGAGCATTCTTTTTGCTACTGCGCATGAAGAAATCTAACTAAAATTAATGAGCCAAGGCTTGAAGGCCTTATTACTTTCTGAGTAAAGCCAGTTAAAAGAATGGATCAGGTGAGGGAAACCATTCATAATGGCTAATCTTCAGCCAATACAAATCAGACGAGCTTTCATAAAAGCCAACACAGCTACAGCAATTGATGCTAACCTAAAACTATGCTTTCGCGAACTTATGTGCCAGCACTACTAGCTTTCTTCCTGTTTATACAGCACCATGGGAGAAGGCTACCAGCACCGGTGGTACTTCCAGCGATATAAATCCAGCCCGAGGAGACCCTTGGGGGTTGGTTTGTCCCAAAAGGACACAAACATCAGCCCCATTTCTCAGGCCCGGGGAGAGGGGAGGGCCG